TATATAATTTATCGTTGCATTATTTAGGAGATTGAAAAGTCAACTTAAATACACTCTTATAATACTGTCTGTTTCTTCTCTTTATGGCTGTGATTTGATATCATTTAGTATGAGGTCACTCCTCCTACGTCAGCAGGAGCACCTCCATTGAAGCAGGAGATTGTTTCTTCTTCTTTATTGTTTTAAAAAGCTCTCTGTCTAGTTTTATGTCTTAGTTATGTTTTGTTCTTTTTTTTTTCTTTTGCTATTATTCATATTTTCAATGGCAAAAGAAATTAATATTTTTCTTATGTTGTGTCATTGTCTACCTTGAAAATTCGAAAGTTGAATACATAATTGAATTGGGCTCTTTTCTAGTTCATGTCTCTTGTTCGGTTAAATATTTGACAAATGAGAGAAATAAGTGCAAACAAAAATACAATATTTTTCTTTCCTCCGAAAAAAATACAATTTTCTCTATTTTTCAAAAGAAAATGAGAAAACAAGAAGTTTGTTGTTTTCAAAATATCTACACAATTTTGAAAAAGTTTCTTGAAAATGAAAAACAAAAAAACGAGAATAGTTATTGTGTTTCTAAAAAATTAAAAACGAGAAACATGAAATAAGAAAGAAGAAAGTTACTAAACGAAGCTTAAATTTTCATCTAAAGATTCAACTCTAACTAAAAAAATTAAGATTAGTCTAAACAATCACTCATTCGATTTCAGGAAGAAAAGACAAGAAAGAATATATATATCCACTTGTATTGAGATGAAAGTCACTCCCAAGAGATCACCGACTCAAAACAACATCTAAATTAAGTCGAGTTTAGTTTAGAATGGTAAAAAATTTACTCCAATCACGGGGTATTTCAATCAATTATTAGATTGAAAAGAATTTCAGAATGATGGACCACCTAAAATCAAATCAAGCCTCAATGAAATTGCCACTTAAACTATGAATTTGATCCTTCAACTTTAAATCTTATGTCTACTTAGTCTAAACTTTTAGGTTTAATCGACGATGGAGAGAGAATTCTCTCTGGCTTTCATCTTATATTTTACTGAACAGTATACTGTAGTTTAAGACAAATAATAATTTTGAGTTTACATACTACCAAAAAAATCTTATAAGAGAATGGCCCACATGGCTAACAAATTCACAGCTGTGCTGCCTACCAGATCTTTGTAAGTTTAATATTTGTGTGACCATAACACCTGACCCTACGAGGTTCAAATTAAACACAAAATAACATCCAAACGTACTCGAAATGAGACAGCACGTAATACTTAAATAGATACTAAATCGATAGAGTTAACAGACAAAAATTTATTAGTTACAAAATTAGAAGTTTAGAGCCCGTTTGGTAACATTTTCGTTTCTTGTTCTCGTTTTCAAATTTTACTAAAAAATTTAAGTATTTTGCAACTAAATATATTTCTTGTTTACATTTACAATACGTTGTAATACATGAATATAAATATTATTGGGCATTGGTTGCACGCATATGGGCGCTGCCTCACTAACTTTCTCTGCCATTGCCCACTTAATTACAGCGTCAGCCTGTTGGTATTGGCCCAACCATTTTGCTTTAAATGCCCTTTTTTTCTTTCTTTTCAGTAATATCTCGAGGAAATGTTAAGATATATTTACTAAAAGTTAATAAGTATTTTACCTTGTTTAAAAATTATAATTATTGATATTATGTCATTTTGTTGATAATTTTTTTTAATTTTGCCCTTTTTTTTTGCAATATTAAAAAAATATCAGTGCACCAGTCGAATAAATATAAACATGTTATGAAAATTGAATATGTTAATATCCCCACATCTTTTTATATCGGTGCCCACAATTCCCAAAAGAAGGCCCAAGACAAAATAAAAGGGCGAAAGAAAAAGAGAAATCTATATTCTCTTTTGTTATTCTGCCATCAAACAAACGGAAGCAGGCTTCTTCTTCCTCCTTTGGCGAGAAATGCAGTCCAAGTTTGGGTTCCATGGTCTTCCTCTATGTCTCTCTGGCTTCACCATCTCTCATCCTTCTCTCTCTACCGAGTACTTTTTTATTATTATTTTTTGTTCTCTCTCTCTCTGTCTCTCCTCTTTTAAGTACAATCTATTATTTACCCTTGTTTTCAAGTGTGATGTGATGTCTCTTGCTTTTGGGAGTTGCAGGATGGCGGATCACGAGCGCAGGAGGGAGGCCATGAGAAGGCAAAGATCAAGCGCCTCGACGCCGGAGCGCGCCGATCCACAAATTGGCTTCACTACAACGACCGTGGAAAGGATCAGAGATGGAGAGATCCAAGGACTCGATCTTGCGGCGGATTTCGTGGATGATTTGTGCGAATCAACCTTCACTTGTGCTGCAAAAGCCGCGTAGATTAGGAACACAACGGCCATCATACAGATTCCAAGACAAATTGAATCATGTTTTACTTTGATATTTGTGTGTTGGGTTTGGACCTGTTTTCTCATAATCGATAGCTCAATGTATTGTTCTTGGTTGAACTGGTTCTCAATGTATTATTATTATATTTTACTATTTTTATTTTGGTTGTGTTTGTTTGTTCTTGTGCTTCGCCACTCGAATGAAGAGAGAAAATGGAGGGTTTTGCATCTTGGACCTAGCAGAATGGTCTAAATTTTAATACGTTAAAGATGGAACCTAGCAAAAAACCAGAGACTTGTTTGTCATCTTAGATCTAAAGCACATTTTACTTGAAGATCGTAACGAGTCGAAGATAACATTATTAATGAAAAGAAGTGAGAAGAAAGGGACGGAAGAGAGGATATGGGCAGGGCAAGAATGTGGAAAAATGCATGAACAAAATGAAACCACGTTACACAACCCCATTCAGTTAAGAGAGACTTCAACCAACTTAAGTATAATCATTAAAGCGCATCCTTGAGATGAGAACCTTGATTTGTCTTTTTCACCAAATGATCTGGGCCGAAATTTGACAAACAGCCCATTTCAATCATAGTATGGCAAAATCACAGAGCTTTGATACGGCACTTCTAGTTTAGAAAAAACCGTCCTTTTTGGATAGACCAACGGAGGGAAAAAGCAGTAAATAATTTGTGAAATAAGAAACGGCATTAGTTTTGCAGTGTGTAGTATCTCCAAAGAAACATAGAAATCGAAAACTTTTGAGCCGCTCTGGAAGAGCCAAAGCACCTCGAACTCAAACAGGACACAGAAGCAAAGAGGCCACCAAACGGACCAGCACAAAAAGAGACTACAAGATATAGCTGTGCCACCGTCTATCAAGCACCCAATTCTGAGACTGGGTACCTGACAACCAGCCGCAACAACTATGATCACCAAAGCAATTTAAAAGACTCGACGACAAAGCAGCACCAAGAATAACAAGGTCTTTATTCTGACATTTATACTTGTAAACCTCAGACGGAGCTGTCTGAGGTTGAGCAAGCACGGTTCACTTCTTCTTGGCCGCAGACTTGGTGACCTTGGCACCAGATGGATCCTTCTTCTCGACATTCTTGATAACACCAACTGCGACAGTCTGTCTCATGTCCCTCACGGCAAATCGTCCGAGAGGTGGGTACTCGGAGAAAGTCTCAACCACCATGGGTTTGGTGGGAACCATCTTAATCATTCCAGCATCACCATTCTTCAAGAACTTGGGCTCTTTCTCAAGTTCCTTACCAGAACGCCTGTCAATCTTGGTCAGGATCTCAGAAAACTTCACGGCAATGTGAGAGGTGTGGCAATCAAGCACTGGGGCGTAACCATTGCCAATCTGTCCCGGGTGGTTCATGATGATGACCTGAGAAGTGAAGTTGGCAGCCTCCTTGGCAGGGTCATCCTTAGAGTTGGACGCAACAAAACCACGCTTCAGATCCTTCACAGCAACATTCTTCACGTTGAAGCCAACATTGTCACCTGGAAGGGCCTCCTGGAGAGCTTCATGGTGCATCTCCACAGACTTAACTTCAGTGGTCAACCCAGTGGGGCCAAAAGTCACCACCATTCCCGGCTTGAGGATACCAGTCTCAACACGTCCCACAGGTACAGTTCCAATTCCACCAATCTTGTAAACGTCCTGAAGTGGAAGACGGAGTGGCTTGTCTGAGGGCCTCTTGGGCTCCGAGATTAAGTCAAGAGCCTCAAGGAGGGTTGGACCCTTGTACCAGTCAAGGTTGGTTGACCTCTCGATCATATTGTCTCCTTCAAAACCAGAGATGGGGACGAATGGGATTTTGTCAGGGTTGTAACCCACCTTCTTGAGGTAGGAGGAAACTTCCTTGACAATTTCATCATACCTTGCCTTGGAGTACTTGGGGGTGGTTGCATCCATCTACAAAAAGTGAAAGCAGAAAATAAGTTTGACATACAACTAGAAGCAGACAGTCACATGACAAATTTACAACGCATGTGAAGCAGACACCTCACCTTGTTGCAGCAGCAGATCATCTGCTTGACACCAAGAGTAAACGCAAGCAAGGCATGCTCACGAGTTTGACCATCCTTAGAGATACCGGCTTCAAAACCACCAGTGGTGGAGTCAATAATGAGGACAGCACAATCGGCCTGTGAAGTACCAGTAATCATGTTCTTAATGAAATCACGATGTCCAGGGGCATCGATGACAGTGCAGTAGTATTTGGTGGTCTCAAACTTCCACAAGGCAATATCAATGGTAATACCACGTTCACGCTCTGCCTTGAGCTTGTCCAACACCCAGGCATATTTGAATGACCTCTTGTTCATCTCAGCAGCTTCCTTCTCGAACCTTTCAATGACACGCTTGTCAATACCACCAAGCTTGTAGATCAAGTGTCCGGTGGTGGTGGACTTCCCAGAGTCGACGTGGCCAATGACCACAATGTTAATGTGAACCTTCTCCTTACCCATTTTTAAATTGTAGTAACCTGAAAAAGTTAATAATAGTAAATCAAGTGATCAGCATCCTCCTCCTAGGAAATCAAACAATAATTTCTCGATATATTTCCATGAAATCTACCAATAAAACTACCATAGTTCGTAGATCTTTCAGAATACGATGACCATAAATAAAGTTTCAATTGAATCTCCTCTTTTACATTAAAGATAACCAACTCCTCCAAAAAATTTAACAAATCTTGCTAAAATCATCCAAAACTTAATATCAACGAGATTAAAGTATCACATGAATTTAATATTATTCAATGATGATCATCTCTTCCACGCAATCGCAACAACATTGAGCTCGTCTACAAGCATAAGACAGAAAATCAATACTCCTAGATTGAAACAGCCGATTAAACGAAAAACGAGCTTAATCAAAGATAATATTCAAATCCTCTTCGTACAAAGTAACACCTAGATAGATCCATCCATCGTAACAAAATACTACAAACAATGGATCAAATGCCATGCACGCATATGCATTAGATGAATAATAAACTAAAATTATCCATCGATCTAAGATAGAATCAAACCTCAAGAAGACGAAGAGAGATCGATAAGCCGAATCAAGAAACGAGGGTTACGAGCGAGTAAGGAAGCGGAGGTGATGAATGGGGGAGCTCTTTGACTATATATAGGAGAGGCTTTGGGACAGAGCTGGCTAGGGTTTCTTCCTCAGCCGTCAGATTTCGGGGGATCTGATCGAACGGTGTTAATCTTCGCTTCCGGAAGTAGACCGGACACCGGGCAAATGCGTGGATCGGTTTCAATAATTCTCATTTATTTGCTTTTAAAATACATATTCACTTCCTAAAAGAGTTTTTGTTTTCACGATTCAAATTGATTTTCGAAATTTAAGAGGAAAAAAAAAAGATAATTGATTCTAAATAATTTAAATTTTAAACTAATTCACTTTCTAAAAACAAATTTTAGATAAATTGTTTTGTCTCAACCATGGTAGACATTTCAACTACACATTGAGGGGACATGCACACTACAAAAGGAAGTAGGGGGGAAAATAAATATAATTAAATTATAGTTGGAAATAAAATTAATTAGAGGGACGGTTTTATTTTAGTTTTTATGGGCATAGCTTACTTTTAGTTGCATAGATTAATATTCAATGGATTGATATACTAATACTTCTTGAATAAGATAAGAATATAGTTATTGTTATGTTTTTCGGCTGGAATGAGACATTTATATATTTTTTGTTAAGTTTACCTGGCATTGATTTAACTTATTTTAATTTTTTTCTTTGTTTGATTGATATCACTGAGATTTTGATTTTTTGAGAATGGAATAAGTTTTGATAATGATTCTATTTTTGGAATTATAATTTTCCAAATTTAAAATTTTGTTTAAATTTTGGAGCTATAGTTGATGATTTTAAAAATGAAAGACTAGACAACGAAATGTTAATAAATAAGCTACATTTTGAAAACAAATGCTGCAAAATCTTAGTTGTAGAGCTTTAATTTTAATGAGAGTATTTTGAGCCTAGTTCAAATTGATAAAAAATGATTTCATCTCCATATTTTCAATCACTTAACTAAAATTTAAAATTTGAAAATAAAGGAAGTTTGATAACAATTTTGTTTTTATTTTCTACTTTTCAAAATTAAACTTACGATCGTCAAAGCGAGCATAACTCAACGACAACTTGACACATATCTAATGCGAGTTTGATCATCTACCCCACATGATATACTAAAACACCACTAATTCAATCGAATATTCATTTGTCTTGTTATAACTTTTACAAATATTTTTTAGAGAGTAAGTCAAATTTTGAAAAGAAAATTCAAAAACTTGTTTTTATTTTTGAAAATGTGCTAAAATTGGAATGTATCTCAAATAAATGGTAAGAAAATAGGTTAATTAAAAAATACATAAAATTAAAAATAAAATCACATCAAACCGGATCTTAATTAATTATTTATTATTATTGAGAACGAGTCCGAAAGAATGTATCATTCTTTTTATATCAGAAAATAATACAGTTATAAATAATAAATATAGTATAGCGGACAGGGACTGCACCCACGATCGATATATTAAGGTTTTATGGTGACCGGGATTATCTTGTTCCGCAGCCGGTATCCGGTATTGGTGGTCTCTATGTTTCGGAAAGCAGCGACAACATGAGCACATTGGGCATATTTACCCGCTACCGGTCTACTCCCAAAAAAAAAAGAGGCATTTGCAATATTAATGTATTCAACCTTTTTTTTTAATTGAGTATTTATCATTGCAACATTACAATTAATTGTCAAAATGACAATACAACGTCTGAATATATTTTACTCTTTTTTTCTTATTTTTTTAAACAAAAACAATTATCATAAAATTACACAATACCAACTCATAAAATTAAAAATATTATATGAGTTGGTATTGATTAATTGTCTATTTATTTTTCAATTGATTTCCTTAAAAACCAATGGCGGACAAGGAAATCATAGTCAAGCGGGCAAAATCTTCCCCCTACAAATCGCGTATAGCTTCTATCCTATCATGTCTGCCATCTCCTACACTCCCACTGGATCCGGCTGAATTCTAATTCTTGCCTGGTACGAAACGGGTTTAGTGGGGGGACTTGCATTCTTCGTCTGAAACCATCTTCACAAAAGAGAAACAAACCAATGCTTCGAATGAAAAGTTTGCATATAATGTATGGTGTAATATATTATGAATCTATCAATACAAAATTCTCTAATTCCCATCTTTGCTACCTCTCTTCACATGACATATCCCAACCAACGGGTAAACCGTCGAAAAATGTGGAGAAAAAAGTCACACAAGGGGGAGAAAACAAATACAACCAAGATCACGGCCCAAATCTACCTAAATTTAAGCATCCTAATCGGTATGAAAATAACCATGATGATCAATGATCTGATTCACGAACAACTAGATACATTGTTACTGGATGCCAAGAGCTTTTTCAAATGTTTGCAGTCCAACACTACTCAAAAACTGTCTATTTGGTTGTCAAAATTCAATATGTTCATCAAATACTGGTACACAATGTGGATGGAATCTCAGGGAATGAATAAAGAACTCCTCTGGATAAGTTTAAAGTTTGGCCTACCTATAATCACAATTCATTGTCACTGTCCTGCTGCACCTTTTCTTCTGCCTTTTCAGCTTCTTCAAGGACAAAGCTTTTGAGAGATTCAACGTCTCTTGGCCCTGAGTCAGTAGAAGCATAGCTGGTAAATCAAGTTTTCTCCCAATCCAAAAATAGATTTTACTATGATTATAGAAGAATAATCTTGAGTAACACAACAGCAGAGAAATGAACAAACGGAGCCTGCCCCAGAATAAATATCAGCCAAGTTCACTTCACAATGACTACTGCTGGGAACTCTATATACAACAATGAAATGCAGCATTTCATTCTGATTTCCGATATTGCCAAGCATCAATCACTTACAGCAGAAGCACAAGAATGAATGGATTGACATGTAATAGGTTACACATGCCTACACCCTCAAAAGTGTAACACAACTTTCCAATCTTTCAAATTTTTGTAATGGCGGCATTTAATAAGACTCAAAACAAAGCTACAAATGGTTCTCTAGGGAGAGGGATGCGTTGAGAAGTGTTGAGAACAATGAGTTGATCACTCTAAATTTATGTGTGCTAACTAGAGAGGAATGCACACAGATGACAAATCATCACCATTAAATTCGTCAGTCATTACATTACAAAGTTAAGAAGAAGAAAATGAATCATACTGAACGTGGAACATAGACAGCGAGAATAATATATAAATAAAGCAATGTAATTGCCAGGGAACAGGAGAGGGATGAAAAATCACCTGAATACTTTGCAACTTCTTCCCCTTCATAGAAAAGCTTAAATGTGGGATATGAATGAATGTCAACTTTGGAACAGACAGGTTTGTTCAAACTGCAATCAACTTCTCCAACCTCAATTTCATCCTCACCTTCCATTGCCTTCCCCAAGTCCTCCCATAATGATCCTAAATTCTTGCTGAAACACACTAGTTATAAGTAACTAAGCAATTTGAAACAAATGATTAATTAGCAGGACACAAAAACAGGAAACTACAATGAGAGAGAATACCAACCAATGTTTGCACCAAGGAACGCAGAATTTCACAAACCATGCAGTATCTTTTTCCTTAACCTGAAAAAAATACACATTTATGTCATGAGGAACATCGTTAAATGGTAATGTTATTTTGAAACCTTAACTACACATTCTTAATGATTAAGAAGCAGAAATAACATCCATCAAGATATGAACCAAGAGGAACGCAACAACATACATCATGGAGAACATTTTAAATTGGACCAACATCCTCAATTTGCCCAAACATCAAAAACTACAAGTCAAAGCAAAAAAAAATAAAACTGATTTACTGTATCGCCAACGAAGACTTATAATGGACGGCATGGTAGAAATAATTATGTAAGGCTTCGAATGCTGCACCCACAAAATATGATATAACTTCCACAATTAATTTTTTACACCCTTTTAACAATTTCCTTTCCGAGCCTACTTTAAAATGTTTTAACTAATGTTACTAACCCTGGAAACAAGAAAACTTAATCAAACTTGCGTTTGCCCGTGGGCCGTAATCCAACAGAAACCAACACCAGAAGTTAGTTTCTACTTCATTTGAAATAGCAAGTACAAGATAAAATTCAGAATAGAGTTTTGAGCATTCTGGAAAATTGCATCGAATCTTTTCTTGGTACGGCCTTAGTTCATTCTTGTGGATCCGAAACTGTAGCATCTCGGTTGACAGTAGCAATACAAAATCCAAACCAATCACTCATAACCGAGGAACACAGGCAGTGACTCAAACACAACAAATAATTGGATTCAACCATGCATAATCGAACACCCATCGAAAATATGTTGCATCGTCAGACATGGTTGAAAAATCAACAGAACCATTCACTTCGCTCGCATGTTTTTCCACCTAGAGAATACAGAAATGGATCTCGATGAGTAAATTAGGGTTCCGAAATGGTACCTTGTCGGAGAAGGTGTCCGCAGTTAGGGTTATAACTTCAGCTCTGCAGAGAGATGCTGTGTTTAGAACAAGAACTGAGATCAACAACAAAGGAAAAATTGCAGATAAAATATGGAATCTCATGGTTGAATGTGGTCTCCGGATCTTCTCCTCCTTCGCTGAGAATTCAATACAAGACGAGACTGTCCTTGGTGGCCGGAATTAGCCCCGGTCGATTTGGAAAGTGTTTTTTTTTTTTTTTTGATCGAAGGTTTGGAAAGTGTCGTTGAGGCTATGTGCCAAATTTCCGATATTTTACCAAATAAATATAGATCTCGTTCTCCCGAAAGTTGCCCTCGTTGGATGTGGAAAGAAAAACTATATTTAACTTCTAAGGAATTTTTTTGTTTAATAAAAACTAAATATGTTTTGATAACTGCTATTAGTTTTTGGTATTTTTTGTTGTCAAACAAATGATGAACATACCTTTTTATTTTAATATAAGATGTAGTGGTGAATATCGAATTCACAGTCTTTTAATTTGAGGTATATGTTAACTATCGTTAAATTATGTTCGCTATGACAGTAGGCTTTAAATCATATACGAACAATGGTATGTTTAGTGATATTGGAAGCTACAACATTAAATTGCATACTAATAATCGTATATTTAGCGAGATTGGGAGCTACAACGTTAAATCGCATACTAATAATCGTATATTTAGTGATATTGCAAGCTACGATATTAAATCAGAGATAAAATAAAAACAAGAGAAGTCAATAGTAACATTCAAATGCAAGAAATATATCATTATTTTGAGATAGTATAATAAGTATTTTTGTGAATTGAGTTAAATTTACTAACTATTACAATATATGTCATATGAATTATGGTTTATTGACAATATATGTCATATGGACTAGAATTATTGACAATATATACGACGATGATTAACTATTAACTATGGACTGTCGATGTTATTATCGAAAAAATCGATAATCACAATAGATCTTCAAGAATACTTTAAGATTAGAACCGGCAAAAAACAAGTTAGCCTTCCCTCTCCATTTATCTCTGTGGTAATTATAAGAAAAGGGAAATGTAACCGTTGAGGAATTTGGCTCCTCATTTGAATGAAACGGTTCCAACTCTGTAGAAATAAGAAGCCTGTGTGTTGAGTGGGAGAACAGTTAGACTGCCGTAACATAAATAGTGGAATAAACCGTTTGGCTGGATACCTAGCTCGGTTAAATGCCCAGTTTGGCTATAATCCGATCTAATACTTGACTTCTTTCTCTCAATGCTCTCCCTTGTAATTAAGTTGACTTAATGACATGTCTTTGAGATTCGAAGGTTAAAAAATTGACAATACATATGACGACGTATAAAATCATCGATGTTGTTATAAAAAATATATATGATATCTCAAACAAAAATAATTAGAGAGCTATATTGAAGAGCAATTTTTTTACCATGTCTATGTGGGATGGAGTTTCGAACGTGTGGATTGGAGTTTTAAACTCATTATCTATTGATTAGAGATATATGCTTGTGGGGTGGAGTGAAATTTCGAAAGAGATATATGCTAATTATCGTGGAGTAGAGTTTCGAATGGAGTTTCGAACGTGTGGATTGGAGTTTCGAACGTGTGGATTGGAGTTTCAAACTTATGATCTCTTGATATATATGCTTGTGGGGTGGAGTTTCGAACATGTGGGGTGGAGTTTCGAAAGAGATATATGTTAATTATCGTGGAGTAGAGTTTCGAACAGATATATGCTAATTACTGTGGGGTAGAGTTTCGAATATGTGGGATGAAATTTCGAACTCACTTTAATTGAGATTTAGGATTAGTATTGAGTTAGGATTAGTATTGAGTTAGTTAGAATTAGTATTGAGTTATGTTTTCTTCGTTGTCTGAGTTAGGATTAGTATTGAGTTATGTTTTCTTCGTTGTCTCTGAGTTAGGATTAGTATTGAGTTATGTTTTCTTCGTTGTCTCTTAAGCCATTTTAATCCCATGTTATTTTATTGTTTCCCCAACATTATAATCTCTGCTACTGTTTAAGTTTTAAAAAAATAAATCTGTCCCAATCTACATTTCACCATGGACAATAATTTATTATTATAAAACAATATACCTCGTCCATTTTTTTCTTTAAAAAAAAAAAAACTAGATAAATTATTATAAAAAATATTTGGCACAAAAATGCATTAGGAAACTCGTATACTAATAAAGAATAAATAAAACAAGAGAAGTAGTTCAGTGAAGTCGGGGATTTATTCACAGATCTGCAACTGCGAGCTCATGAACGAACCCTAAACCGAAACGAAGCAGATTGCAGACCTATAAAACAAACGAGCAAAAAGAAAAAGAAGGAATAGCAATGGAGATTCGATTCCACTTTATTCCCGCCATTTTCGACTTCACTAATCAAATCCCATCCCCATAATATTCCCTTCTAAGCTCCTTATTGCCTCTCTGTCTCTCCTTTCCCGCTTCTCTTCCTCTTGCCTCCCCTTCTCCTCCTCCTTGTACGGCGGCGCAATCTCCGCCGACGGCAGAATGATCGCCTCGCTCTGTGCGTCAAGGAAGCGGCCCAGATCGTCCTCGGCCATGTCGAAGGCCCTTGCCATCTCGGGGCCTCTAAGAGTGTGGTAAACCGAACTCGCACCGGCCAAGAACTGCGGATGATTCCTGTGCGACGACGTGGTGAATCCCACGAACTCGAACGGGCCTGTTCTGGATGCGATTTGGCAGAACGCGAAGAATTTTGGAAAAAAGATCACGTTCCCTTCGCTCACTTCTGCATCGAAGGCGGATGTTCCGTTGGGATATGTGATCTGCATCTTACCTTTGCCTACGGTAACGATGGCAAACTCGTCCGCGTCTGGATTCACGTGCGGCGCCATCATCGATCCCTGTAAGCGGAGGTCGGAGGTCAGTTCTCTCTTGAAATTAATTAACTGATCCATGAATCAGATGTAGAATGTAATAGAAATTAATTGAGAGGATTATGGATTGAACAACAGATTCGATTTACCGCGTTGAGATAGACGAGATAAACTCCGACTCTGGAGTCACGTAGAGGAGAGTACTCAGTCTCGTCGAGGGCGACGCTCTTTCCGTAAGCGTTGCTGAAATCTGGAGATTTTTCGCGGAGGTTGTAGGAATCAGGGGATTTTCCGGTTTTTGTTTTCGGTGTGTCGCGATTCTCGTTTCCAAAGATTGAACCCAGGAGCTTCCTCCACGACCAAGACTTTTTCTTCTCCGCCTCTCCGCTTTCTTCATTGACACCGGCAATTGTATTTAATCTGTCTTCATCTTTCACTTGCAGAAACTTACTCAAAACCCTAGGCGATTCAGTATCCGAGACGTATACGATTGGACCCTGTCGTTGCCTCGTCATAAGTCTCTTCAGTTCTGTACGAGAAACCTGTGGGGAAAATTGATTCGTGTGAAAGTTCAATGCAGATGCTGCCGTAAGATTCAAGGTAAGCAGAACAAGAATTTTAGTTGAATTTCATACATTAAATGCTGCAGCCAATGTATCCTGGTCGAATCCGGCAAGGATTGATTCCGGATCGGTTCCTCCAGCGACGAAGAAGGACTATAATTAGAAGAAGAAAAAACAAGAATCAAATCTCCATTTCAAAATTCGGATTCTTATTTCATTCCTTCCAACCCCACCACCAATTCAAACTAAGAGATTAATTACCTGGACAGTACCGGGACTCCAACTCCCAGCTCTATCAATGCTGCAGATAATTTGAAGTCTCTGTCCTTCCCCTATGTTCACCATGTAAAACACCGAACCGGCTGGGATCCGGTATACATCTCCTTCTTTCATCCTCCTCTCTGCTAATTCGTCTTTGTATATCAATCCCAGCCTCACTTCCCCTGCAATTATTTACATTTCCCATTCCGTTCAATGGCTGAAAACTTCCCCCTTCCATTCACATTCATTGTAACTACAGAAAACTAAATGCATTCTAAGAAGGTGAATAACAGATCAAACTTAGTATTGTAACCCATCTGTTTAAGCTTTGTGGACTCTAACTTCCTCCACATTATCGTTGACAATCACTTGTTAGGTCTTGTGCTAGAGTGCTCTTGGGTCTATGCCATCGCCTCCACATTAATTTTGATGATCGCTTGTTAGGTGTAATGCTAAGAGTGCTTTTGGGTGTAGTGATTTATGAATGCATGAGGCGAATTGTTTTGAAGAGATTGAGGAAAGAAGGGTGAATACCTTTTTGGACGAAGAGAATCAGGCTGGAGTCCATATACTGAGGGATGAACAGGGACTTGGGCTCCATAGTGATGAAGCCAATGTGAATTTGCCTGTCGAGAATTCTTGAAGCTGGACCTTTGACCACCCTCATCTCTCCCGCCTCTGTCTGTATCACATGCTTCGAATCCTCCAGCAGAAACCGGTCTTCCCTTCTAAACTCTCTCTCTTCCCTCCTATCTCTCTCCCACTCTGCTTCTTCTTCTCTGTCGAACCCAATTGCGTTTCCCAAAACGGCGATGATCAACAGCACCACCAGAGCTTCTCTCTTTCCCATCTTTGCTCCCACTCTGCTTCTTCTTACTATCGCCGCCGGAGGGGTTGTCTCTGCAACTTCTTGTGGCGGAGAGTGACGGTGGGAGAGGCTTTATGAAGACGAGATTCAGAGGATGAAGGAGGACGCGTGTCGTTCATGCAAGTTTCTGCGTTTCCGTGGCGGGTTTCAGTTTAGACACAGTTGAGATTTTTGAGGCACATTTTGGCCGAGACAGAGTCTTCCGCTTGAATGGCTTCAGTCACACGCCACTTGTCTTGATTACTTGCTTTTTTTTTCCTCTCTTGTCAATTCTAAAATTTTCCATGTCATTTGTCAGGGGCTCCACGTAGGAACGGATAGATTTACTTTTGAGCCATTTGAATTATACAAATTGAAATTTAGAATAAAATTGCATCAACATTCTTTGTCTGAAAATGTTGCGTCTTACTATATGAATTATTTTATTTCTTTACCACAGTTATTCATCGTACTTCACAATTCTTACCTAAATTTCCATACTTTTCCTAGAGATGATAAGAAACTGAAATATCAATGATAAGATGTATAGTTGTACAGAATTTTAGGAACAGAAAAGGGAATAAATTATTAGTATTGAGATCAAATATAATGTATGATTATTTTGTTTTTCTTTTTTGGTTTATTGAATAACAGAAATAGAGTATAAAATCGATTTTTATTTAAGCCGTATATTTAAGATTGAAAATGTGAAGAGAAGATTTACAGTAATACTAGTATTAATGTGATTTAAAAATTTCACAAACTTTTTTAATATTAAATATAACATGTTCTATCTTATATTTAAGTTTGACATTAATTTTAATTATGTCAACTTGAACATAGTTCAACAAATTAATGTATCTATGACCAATATGTTCTGAGTTAGAATATTTCACCTCCACTTATTGTATATATAAGAAAAGAAGGCTTTTATATATATATATATATATATATATATATATATAAATAATGAAAGGAAATGAAAAATATACCTTACTTTGTTACTTAAGTAACACGTGAAGTAGAGCTCCGTACTTTCGACGTTTTTGATCGAAGATATATATATTTTAATCTGTTGAGCTAAACTTTTTTTTTTCCGATATTTGCTGTATTAAATTTAAGTGGGGTATAAGTACCTATACCTATGCTCCCTCCAAGAATGATAATTTAAGTATTTTTAAGCTATACAATTGTAACCCATCCTAATAATTAGCATTAGTTTTTTTTTAATACCTAATAATAACTTAAGGTGGCCTCTTTGTTTTTCCCTTTTTTCTTTGTGTGCAGAATAATGGCTTCCTTCTATTTTATTAAAGAAAAATTAATAACAATATACTTCAGTTCGATTTTATATTTTTATTCTAAAAAGCTCCTTATATTTTAATTTCAAAATAAAATTGAATGAATATGATATTAGAAATTTTGTTCTTACCATAATTTTCATTTCTTAGATTATAGTTTTATTTCTAACTTCTGCTTTTGGACATTATACTTGTTTCCTCACCAATTTTTATATGTTTGTTACAGGTCTTAAAAATATATTTCTACTTAAATTTAAAAAACAAAAATAAAATTTTAAAAAAAGAAGTGCCTTTAAGTTTTAAAAAAAGAAAAACTAACATACCAAGCAAGAAGTAACTTTGGTGTATAGAAAGAAAAAAAAAAGTAATTTTGGTGATGGACCCGCTAAGAAAATTGAATGGATAAGATTTTTGGACTTTAATAATGCTTCCGCCTATTCTCCTGTATCTTTTGGGGGAAGCTTTTGAATTCCTATAACTCAACTACATGGCGATTGCAACGGTAACTGCTCCACGATCACCAAAAATAAATTACTCCCCGGATCGCCCAAAAATGGCGGATTCAGGTTCTGGGTTGCCGCCATTTAACGACGATGAAAGTACCCACGAAGGCGTCCCAAATATCCCTGTTGAGATTGTGAGCGACGAGGAAATGGCCCTAATCGAAGCTGCCTTAGCCGCTGCTCGATCTTCTATCTCCAGCTCTTCAAGCTCCGCCATTAATTCCTCTTCTTCTTCTAAGATTCTCTTTAACGCCAGATCTATTCAGTCAATTACCCTCCTATCAAAGAGGGGGCTTTCTGCTGCCCACCCCGATATCGAGGATTTGTGCAAAACTGCGAGTACCCAGAAGAGGGTAAAAGTCAATGAATCGCTTTTGCATCGTTTTAGGAGGAAGAAGGGCTTTGCCGTCACTGATTTTACTGGCACGGTAAGGAGTTCTTGCTTGGCTTTTGATTGATTTAGCTTGATTTACGTGGATGGTTTGGAGTTTTTCTGCTTGTTACAAATCATCAATGGATTACTGTACTGGTTTTTACTGTTGGAAATTGTGACCATCTCTAATGACAGTGAAATCGGAATCTACTTGTGCCTGGGAGGGCTTTTTTAGTATGATTTTTGCTTAAAATGAATAATTAGCGAGAGTATTTTATAATTTTAGTAAAAAATACTTCATGACAAACCAGTTTCTATACTCCGTGCTAGCACTCCCAAACATAAGTGTTTTCTAAAATTTTTATAAAAAAATAAAAAAATCTTTTAGTTGTACATATGATAAATTTGAGCATGAAGTGCCTTTTGCTCGTGCTAGCACTTCCAAACATAGTTGAAAATTGTGTTGCAAGCGTAATCTTTTTGAGTGGGGAGCGCTTTTGTTCACACTAGCACTTCCTAAAGATGTAGTCTATTGTTGATTGGACTGGGAAAATTATATACAAGTTATGTTGTTCTGTTTTGGTCAGACAAGAGGGACAACTGAAGTATAATAAGATTATATTTTTTTATTAATCTGATTTTATGGGAAGGTAACTTTATGTACTCACCTCCTGGCATGGAATCTGTAGGAATGGTGTGAAAAACAGAAGGTGTTTTCTCTCCATTCTGGATCACGGGAAAAAACCAAAGCTGTGGAAGCAGGTATTGCTCGCCATGCAATGCTTGAAGCAGAGGTAAATTTTTAGTCTTCAGATTGCACTGATTACATTTCTCATGCTCTTTATTTTAGTTGTTTCTTACTTCTAGCATAAGAAGTGTTTTATCCATAAAAACTTCTAGTATCTAAAATGGGTTTTCTGACCACATGTTGTGGTGCTTGAACTATAGTACTATACTGTATCATAGGATAGCTGCCTGATCCCATGGACATTGTTATCAAGGCTTGTGAATTTATTTTGAGAAATCTTTGAGACTTTAGAAGCTAGGTTGTATCAACACTAACAAAACTAATTGTTATATTCTCCAATTTTTCCCACCACCTCTAATTGGTGCTTTGTTTGAATCCTTATAGGTTGTTAAGAAAGCCAAAGTTCAGGTGAAGTCAGCTGAAGATAGATGGGCTTTGAAGCTTCTTAATTTCACGTTTGGTGTAAACCAACTACTGTTTGAAGGTTTGACTCGCGAACTGCCTGTGTAAGTACCAATTTTTTTGTCCGAAGATTGTCCCAATCAATATTGTTTGTCCATCACGAGATTTTCTAGTTTCACTCATAAACCGTTATGCCTTGTGATGGAAAAGTTCTGTAGCATGTCCGGGACCTTAAGTTGATAATGAGGCAGTTCTACTGCCTACTTAAATTCTCCTGAATGAATAAGACAAACAAATTCTGTTTCTGCTCTTCTTTTGCAATTTTCTTGGCATATCAATTACTGTCATTATTCGTCCTATGTAGTGTACTTTTATTATATGCATGAAGCGGAATGCTTCAAATTTAGCATCACTATATTTGGATGTTAGTATTATCTTTAAAATTAAATACATCTGTTAGATATTGAGTTTAGTGTAATGTGAAGATTATGTAGTGCTTATTCTCTTATTGCTCATCAGATGCCATTCATTTCCCTGGTTCAAGATGAGCATGTTACGTTTTCATGATTTGATTTAAAAAAAAAAAAGCGATTCTCTTTTGCTCTTTCCCTCTGTTTTCAGTCAGTTTCTGCCATTGTTCTCTCTCTTCTTCTTGTACACACAACTTAAAGATATTATACGAACCATCTCTCCCACTGAAGCTATATTTATTTGCATTGATGTCAGAATGGGCTTGATAGAAGGTGTATGGATGGTTGGTGTGATTGATGAGGTCCGGATGTTAGAGACTGACACTGGAAGAATGCTGATGTTAGTAGACACTAAAACTCGTTCGCGGGATACAGTTCCAGCTGAACCACAACAAAGAAATGGGAAGTATGTAATTATGGATGCTATCTTTAAGCGTTAGGATTATTGTTCAACATTCGTCTCTTGATTGCAACGATACCGACTTAACTACATTTATTTTTCTTGCAGGCTTCAATTAATGTGTTATAAGTACATATTGGACAGTCTAATTCCTGATGGCTTCTCTTCCAGACAATTTTTTGATTTCTTTTCTTTGAATCCTTACTCCACCTTGTCTGAGGAAATTACAGAGAGCATTACTTCGTTTGGTTTCACTGCAAAGGTAGAACTTTTGAGTTTTAACTTTTGCTTGTTTTTTACAATCTGTATTTGCATTTAATGTTTAGCTAAGGTTTATGATTATCTAATGAGGCCTTTTAAATATTTGACATGAACCGGAGTTAGTTTTCAAATTCTCGGCATGATAGATTTTCTTTGGGAAGTCTGGAAGGAGCTAATCTTCTGCAAATTGTTGTGGTTTCTTTTCTTGTCTTGTCTGTACAGACTCTCGATGATGTAATTAGATACTACACAAATTGTTGTAGCATGCTGCCTTCTACTCACAATAAACTCTTACTAAGGTACATAACATTTATAAATAAAGGGGTGATTTCCTTCAATGGTTGTGCTTGATTATCAATATTTACAGGGTTTTTTATACTTCGCTGTTCATTCTTGCTCCAACCGATGCTCGTGCTTTGCAATTTAAAAACTGAAGCTTTCTACCAAATATTAGAGACTAAAACATATTTTCAGGCTTTGTTTTATAATGATCTGTTTGGTATTTGCTTCTATGCAGTATTTGAATTTTGATAAGATATTGTGGATTGTTTTGGTGTAGATATGAATCACAAAAGGATCAGTCTATTATTGTTGAAGTTGAATTTGAATATGATCATGGTTGGCTCAAGAGTCAACTTGAGACCTCACTCCAGGTCTGGCTTGGACAGCGAGAACCCGAATGCACTCCTCAAGAAGAGCGTTGGAAATGTCGAAATTGTCTATTCGCTTCCAAGTGTCCTGCAAATACTAATGTCGACGCTACCAGCAAGCCCGAGTAATTCAGCTCGAAAATAACCCGGGTCTGGTCTCTCCTGCTGACTAACAAGATTGTCTTCTTCAAGTTTATGGCTCATATTCTGACCCTTCCCCCCTATCAATTTGTATTGAGCATGTATTTTACTTATGGTGCAAAATTGTACCTGTTAGAAACAGATGTATGAAGAAAAATTTGGATAACTCTTGGTTGAATTAGCAAATTTTAAGAATTAGTATTTATTCCATTTCAATTCATAGAAACCTTTGCAGTAAAATTTCAAATTGAATAAAAAATTGACAAGTTTGAACGGTTTTATCTTCATTGTTCTGACACAGTGTGTTTACTGTTTTGTATGAATAGGATAAAGAAAAAAATTGAGTGGGTAAGTTACTAAATGTTTAGAAATATGTATTTTTATATAAAAAAATAAAGTATAGCATTTTAAAATAGTAATTACAAATTTGTATTTTACAAAAAAAAAACTTTGACATTTTCATAGTAATAATTACTATTTATTATTCTAAATTTGTTCTTTAATAAAGCATGTGGGGTGGAAATCTTAACTTACAAAATTTTAGTCGAATAGACAGGAATTGAATCAGTGAATAACCAAACGACTCAACAGATAAGAACTGTTGGGAGTCATGGGCCTGTTATCCCCAAGGTACATTTGATCCTAGAGCAAGAGTCTTCCACATGAAACTCTCCGTTATAATCGATATTCTATTTTCGTTAAAAAAAAAAAGAAAAAGAAAAAAGGAGTAACTGTAGCTCTATTGGGCCGAGAACCGAATCTCCTTCGTAGTATTGGGCCGAAAGCCCAAATTGAAGAATAAGATCATTTTTATTAGTGAAGCAGAGATGACGACGTGGCAGGTTTTTATTGGACAAGAGAACATCTCACAGAAACGTCGGACGCAGAGGAATAAGAGAACAGAAAGGAAGAGCCCTAGAAACGGAAAAACAAGCGCGCGGTTATCTGAGGAATTACAATCTAGCGGAGGGAAAAATTCCGATGGCGCAAGATCGGAGGAGGCAGAGACCGAACATATTGATCACCGGAACGCCGGGCACCGGCAAGACAACGACGTCGTCTGCTCTAGCGGACGCCGCTCAGATCCGTCATATTACGGTCGGAGACCTTGTGAAGGAGAAGAGTTTGCACGATGGCTGGGACGATGAACTCCAGTGTTATATCATCAACGAAGATCTGGTTAGGTTTTCTCTTCTTTAATCCTTACAGCAATTTCTGATTACATCCTCCTGTAGGCTAATTGAGAATTGAGATTGATCTTGAACTTGATTCGAATGTTGTTTTTTTCTTGCAATGTGTCATTCCTATCGATTGACTATTGTTCCTGAGACGACGCTAACCTGCAAGTGTGCTAAAATTCTCAGGTCTGCGATGAATTGGAGGATTTGATGGAAGAAGGTGGAATCATTGTGGATCATCACGGTTGTGATTTTTTCCCCGAGCGGTGGTTTGATCGCGTGGTTGTTCTCCAAACTGAAAACTCTATCTTATATGACCGCTTGACGAAAAGGTGACGAAATTAAAGCCTGCTTGTTTAATTATGCTGTTTGTGTATTTTGTTCATCCATTTTGGCTCTCTTCTCAGACGCTTGTGCGATTCTGTTTGTGGTACAGGGGATACGAGGGAGCAAAGCTTTCGAACAATATTGAATGCGAAATCTTTCAGATATTACTTGAGGAGGCGCAAGAAAACTATGAGGAGAGCATAGTGGTGGCTCTAAGGAGTGACACCGTAGAAGATGTAGCCAGAAATGTTGAAGCTCTGACGGACTGGATTAGGAATTGGCAACCTGTACGCTAAGCAGATAAGAAATACGAGATTCCTTCCTGCACCCGTTATCTTAATTCCGTTGTTGTGTAAATTATCTGCCTATCTGGTTTAGCGATCGGATTGGTCTTCTAGCCATATCTTTATAGTTATATATTTCCAGTTCCCCATTGTTTTGAATCTTAGAAAGCTGCATCTTTTTTGTTTAGCTTTTCCCCAAGTTTGTTGCAGTGTTACCATTTCTATAATGGATAATATCGTAGAGTTTTGGAGGATTTTGTTAGGTGAAAGCTCCATCATTGTCATTGAAGACCACATGAATCTCTTGATCTGGGTGCTTGATGATTGATTACACTGCGGATGCTCGTCCCTCGGCAACATTCTTGGTTTCTTGGGCTCAGTCGAATTCTGAAGTACTCAACAAGCAAATTTGGGCCTTTTGAGGGAAGGGTACAAACTACCAAGTCATAAACTCCTGAGATCTTTGAATGAATGGGCATGTTTAAGTTGCATAGATGGATGAAACATTTGTTGGGATTGATTTGAAAATTTGAAACATGTTTGTAGAAGATTATGTTGCTGTGTGTTGGTGTAATTTTGAATGTCAATGCAGGTCATTTTGATGTGAGCCCATTAATGGGTTCGGGTTCGGGTGTTGCAGGAGCTCGTAAAGATTTCTTGACAATTTTCTTTAAAAACTTGGTACTATTAATTGCAGTGGAAATGGACTAATGAAAATGGTTTAGATCTTTTAGATTAATTATATGGTTTGCTTTTATGAGGCTAATTTGAATGAATCGACATTTTTGAGCTATACATAGAAGTGGGATCCGAAGCCTATCCATGATCAGGAAAAATTGTAGAATCGAGTATAATAACATTAAGAAAAAAAATTATGATACCTTATTTATAAATCTGGTACTTATGTCAGCATATTTTAGACATGATGTTATGTGGATATATGTATGTGTGTATATATTAGAAAATAATTGATACTGTTTTTGTGGTTTAGGTTTCAATATTTTGGTAGTGTTTTTTACCATTTTTTTTTTAATGATGATTGAATGCTTATCAAGATGTTCTTTTTAAAAATTTCAAGGACATTCAAGCATTTTAGAAATTTCTGTAAAAAAACATTTTCAATCACATTATTAGTGAGTCTTTAAAAGCAGGCATACGTAAATCTGGTAATTTAAACACAAATTCACTTTGATTCGATATTGTTGGTCTTGCCCTCTTTTTGAACGAAAAAGAATAAAAATTTTGATGGCATGGCAACCGTTGAATTTTGCAACCTAAATCAAATTTTGAGGAGAAGAGTGACAAATTGATATTCTTAAAATGATAAAAAAAAAAGTTAAAAGATTAAAATAAATATTTAAAAATTCTTTAATTTTGCAACCTAAATCAAATACGAGAGCACCATTTAGGCTAACAGATCTTCTACATGACAAAAGACTACCTTATTTTTGTCAATGTTAAGATTTTTTTTTAATATAAACTACGGTTTCAAAAATATTTATTTTAAAAACTACCCCAATTTTAGAAATTTTAAACAAATGACAATACTTTAAAACTTTTCCCGTTCATTGAGCACATTGCAATGGATAAAATATCTCTGTTTTAAAAATTTTGAAATTAATGTTTCATTAAAATAAAAAAATAAATATATTAAAAAAGACTCCCATGCAATGGAAGCTCTAAAAATTGTACGTCACCATCTTTTGTACCGGAAAAAGGGGCAGTAACGCAGTCAGCCACCACCTTACGAAATTTCAGTCAGTTAAAAATTAAATCTACTTTCCTTATTTGTAACATAACTTTAAATATATAAATGCTGAGACGAGACACAATTCACAGGGAAACCTTTTATTTGATCTTGGGGCCCAATTAAATAAATTAAAAAGAAGAGAAAAAAAAAGGCGCAAACAAACAAACAAACTCGTTTCCCTTCTTCCAAGTTCCGTGGTTGCCGTACGCTTCTCTGTCTCTCCCAGCAGTCCCATAACTCCAACAACCACACGTTTTCTCAGAATTGAAATTGAGGTAATCACTGCCTTCCTTCACTTTCTAAATCTGTTCCTTCTTTGTTTTGTTCTTTCGATCTCCATTTTTACCTCAAACGATGCTATCCAAAATTTGCCCGGGAAGTGTTTGATAAAATGCCAAAGCCAAATATTAATGCCCACGTGGGACATTGTTGAACTAATTACACCCGCACTGATACACCAACCCTTACAAGAGTGCGCAGAAACTTGTAGATGATTCTGATAATGTGATTTCAGATATTTGAGCTGAATGACAATGGGGGCATTTCTGATGTTCATCTTTTCTGGGTGGTCTTATTCTATATTTGCCTTTTTTTTCTTGTTACAGCCTTGCAGTTGTAGAGTTGATTTGTGCATATAATTTTCGAGGCCTTTACAAGTATGCTAAGAAGAGGTGTATTCTCAGCTTTTATTGTTTCTTCTTCTTTGAAATTCTTCTCTTCTTCAACTTCTAATGTGCTCAAAGTCGGGGATATCTTAAGCCATACAAGAATATTTACTAGTGAAGATGTGTTGGAATACTCCAAGGTGAGTCATGACTCGAATCCGCTGCATTTTGATTCTGCATTAGCCCGGCGTGCTGGATATGAAGATCGTCTTGTTCATGGGATGCTTGTTGCTTCAATGTTCCCTCTTATCATTTCCTCTCATTTTGTAAGTCTAGCCACTCTGCATTTCTTACTTTGAAAGTATATTTTGATTTGTCTAGTTCACATAAAAGGGAATTATTGTTGGTACCGTTCTAAACCAAGAGCCAAGAGGAATCCTTGCTCGGCCTGTATCACTAAGAGTCGGAGAAGAGTTTCAAAGTTTCAACGACAACAAAGGAATTTGATAGAAATCGAAAGTCTCTCGACATAAAAGCTCATCATCGAGCATCTGAAATCTCTGGGAACTTTAAGGAAACTGAAATGGCTTCTGAAACTGTCTTCTTACAACTGATTTACGTGTGTTTAAGCCATTTTAGTGTATGGTCTATAATCTGAAGATGATTCTGACTCATGGAATATGTTGAGGATGATTGTAGCCAGGGGCCATCTACGTATCGCAAAGCTTGAATTTTAAGTTACCAGTATACGTTGGAGAGCAGATCATTGGCCAGGTAGAAGCAGTCAACTTGAAAGAAAATAAGAAGAGATACCTGTAAGCTCTTGTTGTTGGCAAATCTCTGACTTCTATAATTCAAATACCAAGTTATCAGTTCATTGAGTTGTGTAATTTGCGAATGTGTTTCAGGGCAAAATTCAGAACATTGTGCTTGAGGAACGGCGGGGACCTTGTTCTTGAGGGTGAGGCAATGGCCATTTTACCTTCTGATTTTCATCCCACAGACAGATAGAAGCTTACTGTTGAAGATAGTGTATCCATTTTTTAAGTTTCAAGCGAGATCGGAGGGATTTCTGCCTGCCAAAGACGTGGCTGAAGAAACTGTTTTCCATCTGAGATCATTTGATTTCTTCTTTGTCCTCTCTCATCTGGACTTTATCATCTTCTTTGAATCCTCAGTTGTCGACAATCTTACTCACTGCTGGTGGCGGTTGTTGATTCTGGGCGACGGAGATGATCTCCCAGAGAGTCAGTCTCCATTTTTCACTTCTTCTCTTACTGATGGGATATTGACAATATTTCTCTTGTATGTCGTCATCTGGGCCTGTTTCGTTTAATATACTTGCCAATCTTGAAACTGCTCATTATCAATAGAGATTAACAAAATGAAACAGATTTTCTGGCAGAGGGAGAAAGAGAGAGAGAGGTACTTTCTAACAACCACAAGTTACAGCATTATGAATTGCATTTTTATTCTATTGTCTTGTGTTCAACGAGACATCCAAGCAACTTAAAAATGTAATCGAAGTTTAAGAATCAGAAGAGTCTGATTCAGTAATACTCCTATTGCAGGGAATAATTTGCCCCTTTGAGAGCATGTTCTCTAGACCCTTAACTACCCTACCCATAAACTCGGAAATGCAATTGGGCAAAAGAAAAAAAAAATGAAAATGAAAACTATAACTTTCTTTCTCCTTTGTACCTGCTGGAGGAGCAACAGAGCAATTGTGTGGTATTTACATTACCTATAGTGAACTACAACAGTTACCTCTTATTCAGTGGCAGAATAATCGACGGTTTGAGCTTCAAGATCTTCTGTGTCACATTCAAAGCAGGTTTGATCTATGGGACTGGAATTGTTCAGCGGGCCTTGTGGGGTTCCAAAGAGGGTAGTAAATATCTGTCTGTGGCACTCGTCACAAAAATATACATAGGTAAAATGGCCTTCATATGGGAGCTTATGAACTGCAGCTCCTGGTAGGATCCGATGCACGTAATCGGTCATTGATGGTGGAACCACCATATCATCCATCCCCTGTTCGAATGAACATAGGAGATCAAAAAGGGAGGGAAAACCAAACTACAATTTGACAGTAAGATATACAGTTTATTTTTATTGTCCAGACCAAGTCATTTTCATTTACTTTTAGCTAGTTGTTCAATTGCTCAGACGTCATGGATCAGCCAGTTCAAGTCAAGCAGAAACCACTATAAGGTAGTTAATAAAGAGATGAGGATGACGGGAAGGGATCAGCAAACTGCTACTGTTTATAATGATCAAAATTGTCATGGTGCGAAAAGTTAGATTTTGACGAAGACGAAGATCAACAATCAGAATCTAACCTGCCATATATGTATTGGACCAAGGAAGCCTGTAAATTCCTCTTGGACATCACCTAGCAAAGACTTGAGCCAATAAATCACGGATTTTACTCTTCGTTTCTGTAATCTAAGGTCGTGAAGCCTGAAACCCCAATCTGACACCAGTAATGCAGCTTCCTCCATGAAAGGTTTTGCATTACCTTGCCTGATTGATTCTTCCACGTCTCTTTGCCAGAACTCTTCATAGATTGGATCCTCTATTAAAGCTCTATCCTGAAAAATGATGATTAATACACTCAGTGATGATTTACACGGGTAAAGTTTTCATGCAATCTCAAAAACTCAGTGAACTCTTAAGAAAAGAAAACCAATTAACAGAATCTTAGTGGCTCGGACCCAACACTATGAAGTCTTATGTATAGAACCTGACAGTAGATGTCCAGAGCTTGACATTGTACACGAGAACAATACGAAACGTAGAATTCGGTATCCGCATCTAACAGGTGTTTAGTCGGGCTTAATAAACATGAATACATACTAGGGATATCATAGGTGTTTAATCGTCAATTAACAGGGAAGAGCATAGACGAATTGAGATTATAAATCAACAAAATCAACAATGATTGTGGATAATCATGTCTCACCCTTTTTCCTAGTGATAATGCCAACCACTTATCAATCTGACCATGCTTCCCAGATAGGAAGCTCTTACGGTAGAACAGAGAGAGAACCCTCGGAAACCTTCGAGCTAGAATGTACATAAATTTCCGCTTTCTACTCCATTTATCCCATGTCCGACGTCTTTCCTCCTTAGTCATACTTGGATCATAGGGATTAATCATTGGAGCAAACATAGCCGCACCTGCAACACAATACCAATTAATATCAGAGATTCTATTACCCAAATTTCGTCATTACATTTGGGTATCCGCATCCAATATCCGTCTCTCACCCCCTCTCCCTCTCTCTTTCAGTTGGCTTACAATCCCACTCCGGCCATACAATTACAATGGAAGATGGCCAACTAAATGTGAGCTAGGTTCCTAAAAGCCGCTGTTTATTTTAGTTATTTCACAGTTCCGCATTGAGCTTATTGAGTCTTCAACTGAAGAAAAATAATGGTATTGCCTTTATTCGTACCTGCAAGTTTATCAGGAATATACCTAAGAGCGGCCCAAGTATGCATGCTCCCAGTTGAATACCCTAGTACCCAAAATCTATCATTGACGCCTAAAGCAATTGCTAAAAATGACATGTCCATTGCTGACGATTCAAGGTTTCTTTGAGGATGAGGATCACTCTCTCCATAGCCTGGAAGATCATATGTCAACAAGCGAATGCCAAACTCTTCCAATAGTGAAATCTTAAGTCCAGGTATGCCTAAAAATAAGAATAACACCACCAAAAGTCACAGGCATGCATGCAGAAATAATTTCATTTTAACAGTTCCCCGAAATCTCTCTCTCCTCTGATAATACCTGCAAGCCGAGAAGACAGGAAAGTATGAGGAGCGATCATTGAAAATCTAGCTCTGTCAGCAGAGACACCTTGCTCCTTGTATGCCAAGAATCTACCATCGGGGAGCATTACCCGGCTTGCGCTAGGAGGATGTATGTAAACTTTCTTAATTGGTGAGATGGGAATATCATCATGTTGAGTACTTAGACTCAAAACTGCAGATAAACAAACCGGATTGTAAAAATGATCTATAGCCCGAGGAGAAGGGTGGAAAGCATGAGGAAAGAATCAATTTCTTACAGTTTTTCAGGGAGGGAAAAAAAGACAGTTAGTGTGCTTAATTAAATTCTTAAGGCAGCCACAGAGGAGAATGCTATAAAAATAGTTCAACGATTAAAGACACTGCACAGTGCACAAAATACAAAAACATCCAATTCTAGACTTCATAGTTCATCAATCACGTTGCAATACAAAGCTTCAACCTACTGAAGAACGAATTGGTTGACTATGGTTGACTATTGACCGTACATGATTAAATAGCATATAGCTATGATGCGTTTAAGATAGCTATTTACTACCGCATAACTTCTCAGGTTCGTCGTCGGAAAAAAAAAGGTGAAGAAAGCAAATTAACAAAAAAAGGTACCATTAAGAACAAAATTCATCAGGTAATTCTTCTGTCAGGTACAGATATGATCCTAAGGTCCAAAGCGAAAATGAGTTGAAACTTGCAATCGCTCAATGCAACTCACTTCCTAGAAACCTAATAAAGTAGAGAAAAGCGCGAAGACGATTCAAGCAGCCAAGTAAGGAAATGAAGTAAATTCGGAAAACACAAGCTCAAATTAACTTCTGCAGTCTTTATGATCTTTA